ATTTATGGAAGCCGGGCAGCCTGCGGCCGCTGGCCGGATCTCTGTTTATGTCTGTGATGCTCGCTCGCTGCCGAAACAGGAAGCTCTGAAATCACTCAGCCCTCGTTTCTCTCCGAGGCGCTCTCTGACCGATAGTCTCCGTCCCCGGCCATCGCCAGCCCGAGGGCAAGGGAGGGGTGGCGGGTGGGTGGGGAGAAGTCCAGCTTCTGCCCACGGACCCGCAAACATTGTTCACCCCCATAACCTCAATTCCAAAAAGCCGTCTGACAGCCTCGGCCATCCCGACACCCCATAAAGTCAGCGAGGAACATGACGGGAGCGTGCGGCAGGGCGCCAGGCCCCAGCAGGCTGCCAGCTACCCGCTCCCGCCCCTGCCAGGGCCTTCGGGGGCAGGGGCGCTCCTGGAGGGGGGCAGGGGTGGAGCCAACCGACGTTAAGAAAGTGTTGTTACTGTTTTATTGGGAGAAACCTGATCTGAGAGATGAACGCCATCTCGGAGCTCAGCCTTCGACCTGCGGCTGCCTGAGGTGCACGTACCTCAGGTGGGCCTTTCCATCCGTATCTGCCCACACTGACGTCCCAAAACAGGCGTCGGGGTCTGCATAGTATTGTAAAGGGCACATCAATCACAGCCAAAAAAAGGGGGGGGATAGGAGAGCTGATTTTAATACAGCTCATGCCTGGTCCTGGACTGCAGGGGGAGCTGACCGCCAGCTCCCATCTCCGGCACCACCCTCGCCGCCATCAGGGCTGCCCCGCTGCCGGAGTCCGTCCATGTGGAGCAGAGAATGACTCCGGTCCCGCGAGGCCACCGGGATTCGGGCCGTTTCTCAGCAACAAGCGCTCCGTGAAGAGAGGCTCTGTCCGCCCGGAACCCCTGTGCTAGCACCTCTTCCTTCCACCACAGCCTCTGCCTCACCTGACAGGCAGCCCCCCCCGCTGCCGGCACCGTCCCCCCAATCCTGTGAAACAACCTCCGAGTCAGAAACATCCCCCAAATATGCAAAAGCCCCCGACGACGGTGCGGGTAAATGTTAAGCCTGGGAAGACGTCCCCAGTAAGAACGCGACGAAGGAACCTCGTGTTATAAGGGCGCCAGGAGAGGGGACTGTTTTGAAAGTGGGGGAGATGAAGGTGGCCAGGGAGGTCAGCACACCCCCAGACCCGCCCGGAAGCCCGTCCCCGGGGCCAGGCACGCGGCCTCGCCGGGCAGCTGTGCACCCACTGGGCGACTCTGAGGCCGGGCCGGAGCTGTGCGAGGGGCGCCCTCCCCGTGGCAGGATGGGCCCTTTTCCTGCGCGAGGGGCCACGGCAGGCACACTGAGAGCTCAGGGTCTGCAGCTCGGCCTGAGGGGACCCGCTCTCCTACCCGCACACCGGCCTGGCCACATGCAGACAGCGGCCCGACAGCACGGATGCCAGGGGGCTGCGTCTCTCTCGTTCACTGACGGGTGCGCCTCCAGTTGTCTACAGCGCGCAGCACAGAACGGGGCTGGCCCCCCACAGCCAAGGTGAAGGTCTGAATCCGCAGGTTCTTGGCTTGGGGGGCCCATGGGTCCCCGGAAGCTCCGGCATTAGCTCCGGCGGCCCCAGAAACCGACTTTGCACAGGACGCCTTGGGAGAAGGCCTCCAGGGGACTAAAGTTCCCGACAGATGAGAAGTCGCATCCTTAGGAAGGTAGGAGGATCTGCGCGGACCCTCTTCCCTGTGTACGTGTGGCTGAAGGCACGGCCTGGGAGACCTCCTGCTTGGTTCTAAGTGAGTGAACCAAAGCCGGGTCCCCGAGTGAGGGGTGCAGGCCTGGCCGGGCCGGAAGCGTTCCTGGATCTCCCGGCCAAACCGTCTGCTGTGTCTGTCGCTGCAGCCACGATGCCCTCGCTTTCACCTGAAGACGCCCGTAGCTCCTGCCTCCACTGCTGGTGTAAACTGCTAATCGGCTCGGCCGTCGGGAGTCCTTTCGACTCCGAATGCCCATTTTCTGGGGGCAGGGGGCGTCCCCGGGCGAGCGGGTGAGTGTGAGCGCTCTGAGCAGCCACCTCTCAGCTCCTGGAGCTCCTGCCTCCTCTTCCTTCGCCAGGGAACCATCCCCCTCCATGGGGCCGCCGTGTGAGAGGCAGGAAACGCCAAGGCCGCATACACCGGAGCAAGATGTGCGACTGACACGGAGCACCAGGAGGGGCGGCAGGGAAGGAGGAAGGTTGGGGCGCCGAAGCCCTCGCCATGGACGTTAGGGGACAGTGTAGTCAGCAAGGCCGTGAGAGCCGGACCGGCAGGTTCTCCCGGTTGCAGGCTGAACTTGAGGTTAGAGCTGCGAACCTGGACCTCCGCCAGCGCCCAGACAGATCAGTTTTGCAGAACAGAAAAAAAGCACAAAAAAAAACACAAAAACCCCTCCGTGTTCGGCCTCTGGCAGCTTTTCTGAGGCTCCACAAGCTCCCCGGACGGCAGCCGGTGACGAGAAGGGAGTTCCTCGTTCTCCCCTCACTGGGAGCGGAGCCCCAGGCCCCGTGGAGATGCCGGACGGTGCCTGGGGACAGAGTGTGAAACTGCAGGGAAATGTTTGGATGAGCCAACAGCCCGGGCCTCCTTGGCCCCTGTGGGGTGTGTCGATGCCAACGACATGTTTATAGGCACATTTTGAAAAACAGAAAAATCATCTTAAGATCACTTACAAAAAATAAACCTAATGAAACTTTTAAAGGGCACGGCTCCCTGTGGAAGATTGAGGCTAATTGTTCAAATGAGAGAGAATCATCTGCTCTCTTCATAATGGGAAGCAAATTACAAAAAAAAAAAAAAATATCTGGCGGACGTCGAGTCGACACTCACACTTGAAAGAATAAAATCGAGCTGTGTTTTACGACTGTGGAGAGAAATTCTGGGACACACAGGGCCTTCTGACAGCTCAATTTTGTCTGGTAGCACTGACCAAAAAAAAAAAAAAAATTACTCAAGCCCAACAACACAGGGTAACCTTAACTGGGCCAGACGTTCAATTAGGGCTCCTGTGGTTTGGATGCCTGACTATCGCTCATGGGAAGCAGACACCGTGCAACACAGACCCTGCCCACTCACGGCGCTTCAGTTCACTGTCTCATTCCAGGTGACCAGAGACAGCCCAGCCTGGGTTGTAGCGACGCTACTCCGGCTTTTATGCAAACTCAAGGGCACACTGGCATGGCCCGGGCAGCCAAGTGCAAACAATCCACGCCTTGGGGAAACAGCTCCCTGCTCCCCAGGTAAACACCAGCACCTATTAGTCACCCACTCCAACCAGAAATGGCCAACGAGACGGGAGACCAGCCCCCAACGCCAGAAAAGGAAGCAGGCTGCTCTCCAACCCTCATTCTTTCTCCTCCACCCACTGACTGTGCGTGGCCGCAAAGCCACCACAGAGCTTCTTGTGGAAAAATGTCGCTGGCGTTGGCCACTGAATCGTTTCCACGACTTTTTATCCCCCAAACCTGACACACAAGAGCCACACAGAGGCACACGATGCTAATATCACTTTCTCCGGAAAGGCCACCAAAGGTTACCCAGCTACGAAGTCCTGAGAGTGGAAATCCACAGGCACAGAACGGAGATGGCTAGAGCCGGGCTGGTAGGCACGGACCGGGAGGTGGGGCCTTGGTTTTTATTGGCTTCGCACCCACTCTGCCAGCTACTCATCCAAAGCCTTCAAGATGTTTTCTAAACACACATCTCTGAATCATAATGTGAGTTCCATTTACTGAGAGGCGGGGACTTTTACTAGAACAAGTGAACCCATTTAATGGCTTATGCTTGTATACCTGATAGCATCCCTCATGCTTCCAATCAGTGGATATAATTTTCTTTGCATTGTCCTATTATTAACATAGTTAGGGCGATGAACATAGACTTTCAATCATGTTATGTTTTTTTAAATTACCCTCACTATGATTCTATTTTGAAAACAATAGCCAAACACCCCTCCCTTCACCATCTTCCCTTCTCCAACTAATCAAAACCCCTAAGAACACAGATTTCCTTAGATTTTTGAATGCCTTCATAAAGAGTAATGATGACTCTTGTTTAAATGTCCAATGGTTGGACCTTTACTTTTTTAGCACAACAATCATCGGCTGTTGTTTGGGTGCTTACCGTGTCTTTTTACTATACTCAAAATGATATTTTTTTCTATTATAAAAATTATATTTTCAAAACAAATGATCCCGCCTCTTTCAATTAAACTTCTAGTGCTTACTGCTATTTATAAGTGTGACATGGGTTCTTAGAATACAGAGAAAACACAATATTTGAAAGTAATTTGAAAGCAGAAGAGCCAACAGTCACTCCTCTTTTTGCTCTCATACTTCGATAACGGGCAACAAATAATAACACCACACACAGAACTGCCCTGACCCAACGGTTCTCCTGGATCATCCAGTCTTTCCTATTGTCAGTCCCGGACATGTGAGCTGGGCCAAACCCTTCAAGCGATAGCAAGGCACCCACATTCCATGTACTAGGAAGTCATATTCTGTCAAGCTTACCAACCGCCATTTCTTCACATTTTACCATAAAAGGGTAAGCTTACTTGAAGCCGCATTTCAATAATCATGCACGACCCCTCCCTTAAAATTATTAGACGTGGTCACTTGAAACCCTGTCACCTGCCACAGGGAGCACACGGATCCCAAGTTAAGGGCTCCCATTATAGAGATTTCTGATACTTATCAAAGACAGAACCCCCGTTGAATAATCCTAGTTTTATATTTTTACACTTTCATAAAGAACTGAGGGGTTTCCTTGAAATCCAAAATTCATGTTTTACATGCTGCCGATCAGAAAGCAATAATGTAAAACTAGATTCTGTTAAAAATGTTAAATTCTAAATTAATATTTTTAAAGGCTCGATGCAGCAATAATAACAAGAAAGACTGTGTTTCTAGGGATCCCACCACAGAAATTTCTAGAGGTTTTGAAATTTGGGTCGGTTGCCATGTAAACAGTTTGTGATTCAAGTTCAGCTACCTACCTCTTCCACTCCGGCCGACAAACCTGAGGTCATTGAATCTCGCGACTTGGTTCTTCATGGCCGCGGTGGCGTTTCTCAGTTCGGCTGAGTAGTTCTCGTCATTGCCGGCCATCACGGTGACCAGCGTCCCGTCCGGAACGTCCCCGAGAGCCACCACCTACACACCAGTCAAGGGGCAAATGCAAACATCAGGCGTGTCCTAAACTGTGGTGTCATTTACGGAACAACTGCAAAAATAAATGCATATTAAGTGACCCTTGCTAGTTTGCACACGAATAGCAATCCTAAATTAAGCAAAACGACAGAAAAGCTAGTAACGGGAAGCTCTGCTTTTAAACCCATTACGCATGGCTAAATATAAATCTCCAAATCCTAAGAAAGTGGTGTAGGGTCACGGCGCTCGGCTGGGGCGAGACTACCTACAGCAAGGGCCTGGCCAAGCCATGCCTTCTCCTGAACACTCAACGCTCTCCACTCTCCAAGTCTGAACACCAGAAGGTCTTGTTTCTGGAAGTTTACAACCTAACCCATCTTCCTTCCACTTGTCCAGGCCTCCACTGGCCGGCCTACGTGGGCCAACTTGACTTGTAGTGTCTAAACTCATTTCCCTAAAATTAAATCTGACCCTTAGAACCGAGAGCTGAGGATTCCCGAGTGACCGAAGCTGCCCCCTGCAGTGCACCTTTGAAACCCCTGCTCACGTCTACACTCCTGATTTCCACGAGCAGCGAGCTGGGGCACGCCAGGTCGACCCCTGAGACGTGCCCTTTGCTATGGCTGAGACCAAACCTCAGGCCTCCGAGGGGAGGCCCGCTGTCCGGCGCCCCTGTGACCTCAGGAGGGGGCCGGTCCGGTCTCAGGTGTGCGCCTTGAGTCCCCGAGGCGGGCTCACTTCGCCCTCACAGGTGCCTGAGGGTCCTTCCCCGGCGGACCCTGAGGATGGATTTCCTATCAGGGCTACTGAAGAAAGCTGGCAGACACATCGTGCTGATGCTCAGGTAACAAGAAAGCGGTCATTTCAAAATGGCCCAAGGAGGCAGCAGGAAGGGGCCCGCAGAGGAGTGTCCATGTCTGGGTCATCGCTTGACCCTCTGGACACAGTCTTGCTGGCCTGGACCTGTACCAGCAGCTGCATTGCCACTGTTGCTGTTTCTCCAAGTGACCTCAGAGTTTCACACCCAAAGGCCCGAGTTTTCCTTGTTCCTGCCATTTCTGGTCTCTCCCCTGGCTCTCTCTCTCTCTCTCTCTCTCTCTCTCTCTCTCTCTTTCTTCCCCTCGGTAGTGGAATCTGTGGCGTTGGTCCCAGTTACAGACACAGTTTGGCTGTTTTTGTTTTCCAGTCCTGGCAGCCGAGCATTCGGTAGTGCCCGCCTCTCCTGTTCCCACCTCCCGGTTTCCCCTGAGAACTGCTGGGTCACTTTGGCTGACACCTACACGTGCAGCCTCCTGTCCCGTCTGTAAAGAAGGCGCCATCGGCTCGCCCGCCCGACAGCAAAGCCACGTTTCTCAAAGTCCCGTCTCCATGGCCTGCTCAGTCGTCATACTCCCCGGGGTCCGCTAGTGTTCTCATTCCCCAAGATGCCCCAGCTCTCGGGTTCTTGGGAGCAGGATGGAGAATGGACCCCGTGCTGGGCGGGGCGGGGGACCCCGAGCAGCGGCCCTCACTCGGGAGGTGGGCACCTCCTCACCTACTCATCCCACTCGCACAGTCACCTGAGGTCTGGCTCCTTATCTTTCTTTCCCATCCTTTCCGTGCAATTGGTGGCCATGTTTCCTATACAGGAGGTTTAAACACACAGCTATTTGCTCCCCAGGCACCCTCTAATTAGGCATTTAGTTCCCATTATAAGTGTGTGTGTTGCCGTTTAATTAAGAGCAATAATATGACAACTCCCTTTTGTTTCAAAAAAACATCATTGAAATCAATCTCCCCGATCGGTTATTTAGTTCTTGCTGCTATTTTTTTCGATGCCCACGAAATGTGCTTGCTTTGCTCTTCTCTTAAAAATTTCAGGCTCTTAAACATGGTTCCACTTTTTTTTCTTTCTCGCTGTTTTCAGTTCCCTGTGTGAAATTAGCTCGGGGTGTCGACATGTCTCCCTGAACACACATTTTCACTTTCTCATCCCCCTCTCCCTGTGGTGACCCGGCTTCTCGATTTTAATGCAACATTCAGGGAGCACATGGGGGCGGGATCCACCACATGGCTTTCCAGCCCGAGCCACTCATGCTGGGGGCAGGCTCCGTGAAGAGGGGGAGATAAACAACTGCTTTCCAACTCCCCAAACCTCCTGCAAGCCTCCCGCCTGCTCCCCACACAGTGCTCCGGCCTAGGCCTCGCTCACCGTCCACACCGCCTGCCCTCGCAGTAACTGCCTGGCTTCAGGAGGCGGCGCCAAGTAGAACAAACACAGCCATGGGACCATGGCGGCCAACTAAGGAAAGATGGTGGAGGTTGGGATTGGAGACAAAAAAATGAAGAGTTTAACTCCTACCGCTCTGGTTTAAAAAAAAATGCAGCAGGAATCAAAGAGAATTGGGGGCTCCAAGATCACTGACGTGGCCTTTTATTGATCTTGGAGGGATGTGTTTTTTCATGTGGGAAAGGAAGAGCATATTAAATCCAGGAAAATCATATTCATTTAGATAATGTACAGCATCTAATGATCAACAAACGCCCTTAGACTAGGTAGATTGTTTGTTCAATTTAAAACTAACAAGCCTGATAGTTTGAAAGATTTTATCATTGATAAGCAAATATAGAGGGAATATTAAAAAAAAAATCTAACTTTAAACAGAAAACAAAGCGATGGGAATGGAAAGCGATACACAATAGACGAGGAAACACAAACATTTTCATTCTAGCGCAGACCAAACAGGCAAGAAGGGACTTGTCGGCCAAAGGGTATCTCATATTTTGTTTTACTTCTCTGCTTTGAAAGTATCAGGAAGTTGGGCAAAATATCCACCCTTTACACAGCGACCTACCCACACTGCTCCTGGCCCGGCTGCTCGCAGCTCGAACTGGCATGGAAACCCGCTCTAATTAGGCTGAACTTGCAGTTACAACTCATTTATTTCAAAGCCCTCATTTCCTAGCGTTTCAGAGAAGGCTCTGAAGTGGAACCTGCAATCCAGCCGCGATGACATCTCCTGCCAAGCTCAGGACGGCGGTCGCACCCACGGAGGCATGACCAGTTTCTTTCTTATGGAAAGAATATTCCACCAGCACCAAGGCCTCTGAGCTCGCGGAAGGCGTGTCTGTGCTGCGCCTTCGGACTAAACAGACTGTAATGTTACCCTCGTACAAAGCATGCCCGGCGCCTCCCCGACAGCTCCCCAGGCTGCCCCTGTACAGAAGGGGTGACTAGCAGAGGCAAGGTTTTCTCAATAGTCCACTACCCCTCTCTCGGACCCTAAACAAGGGAGGGGCTCCGTGGGGGCAGGGGGGCACATGATGGGGTCCCGGGTAAGCAACTGGGATGATTTTCATCTATTTTAAGGGAAATCCATCATTCTAATCTCCCTTTAGTTTCAAAGATTAAAGCCGAGGGCTTCAGAAGACTCTGGAAGAATGGCTTAGCCGCTCTTTTCATCGATATCACCAGGCTTGCTCACCGGTTCACATTTCCCCCCCTTATTACAGGGAACAGCGTAATGCTTTCCTGATTAACTTCTTAGAGGGATTGTCTGAGGCTTACTTACAGCCCAAATTGTACAGGAATGATTTCTGGGGAAGCGGCCTGGGAGGTGGTGGGTGGGTGGTGCGGATGGAGCCCGGGACCCTGCACACGGGCGCCCTGGCCTGTGGGCTGAGCTGCCTTTCACCCCCGCCCCCCGCACTGCTCCCTCCGGAGAGCCTCTGGCTCCTCCAGCTCCAGGCTGAGCAGGTTCCCGCAGGAAGGGTCCTGGCTTCATCCAGGGGCCCCACTTCTCTGCTGTCCTTTCCCCCAAGTGCTCTCAGGACGCAGGGGGGCTCGTTCCCAGAGCTCCGTACCTCGATCTTGTAGCCGCCCACCCACCCTCACTCAGTACAGCAACTTGGATTAAAAAAGAGCAGTCAAAAGTCATTTTCCAAAGGAAACCTCTGTGGTGAGTAAGGTTTCTGCTAAACAAACAAACAAACAAACAAACACACAAACACAAAAAACACCTCCCCCCCAAGCTCATGAAGCAATCTATCTGATTTTTTCCTTCGTTCAGAAGGAAAGGACTACATCCGCGTGGTGGCTTGAGAAACGACAGGCTCCAAGTCCCGCAGAGTCTCTAGTCATCACCTAGTTCTGGGCGTGGGGTCCTGGCCGAGCAGGGAGATTCAGAAGCGACCCTGACTCACCCCGAGGGAAGCAGGGACCCCTGCGTGTGGGGCGCCGGGGGAGTGCCCAGGCTGCTCGCTGGCCTGGCTGCTCGCTCCCTCTTATCCGAGGGAGACCCAGGGCCCGGGACTCCAGGGCCCTCTCACAAGGGGACTTGGTCCTCTCTGGGAGGAGGCTCCGGATGGGAAGGGATTAGGCGATTTTACATGGGAATGGGTTTCTGAGCAAATCCAGATAAAGGGAGGTGGGGTGGGGAAGAGGCCAGGCTGCCCACACCCCTCGGAAACGCTCTCCTTCAGGAGACAGAGGGCAGGAGGCCACGCTAGAGGCAGAGCCAACAGCACATTCTGTTTTGCTTTAGAATCAGAATCGAAGTCTGGAAGGTGCATAAAGCTTAAAAATAGAGAACTCCGACAGCACTTTGCAAAAGAGTGAACACTCTGCCTTGTAACTAGATCAAGATCCCACGGAGCCCTGGGACCGTGGAAAGCTGACAGTAAATTGATCTCCCCTTAAAGGGGACAATAATTTAATCAGATTTAAAAAAAAAAGAGTAGCTGCTCTTTACAGCTTTTTTTTCTTTTTTTTTTTCACCTGCCTGCCTTCGCCCTTAAAATGAACAGGAAGTGATTGGACTGATTGCACTAAAAAGCTGACCCTGCGTAGACCCACCCAGGACCGAAGAACAGAATCCCCAAGGCCGAAATTACATTCCGGCGGCCGCTGCCAGAGCGGTGGAGTGGTTGTTTAAAAACTCCGGGGTTGTTTATATGTCCCCACCGAAGGCCAAGGTTTTTAAAAGCAGCTCAAAGCAAGGGCACCATCTGGGGCTGGGGCCGCTCAGCTGAAGTCGCCTGGTCCGCAAACAGGAAGGCGGGCGGATTAGACCCTGATTCCCAAACGCAGCCTGACTGCCTTCCGCTGCCCCGGGCTGGGCTTAAGCTAGGTGAGCCCTCGAGATAACGCTGCCCGGCCGGTTCCAGGAAAAGAAACTGGATTCGCTCCTTGAGGCTTCTGGCAGGAGCAGGCTGGAGGCTTGCAAAAACTTCAAAAACTTTCGCAAACTTAACTGCCCGCCGGTGGACTTCGGACGTGCTAATTGCTACAGGGATGTTCGAGGGGGTGGGGAGCCCTGACAGTTCTCGGGGTCAGCGTGTCTTCAGGCACCCAAGGTCTGAAAGCATCCCATTCCCCCTGCTCCATGGAGAACAGGCAGGAGGGTTTGGGGGTTAAGCCGGCGGCGGGGAGGGGAGCCTGGGAGCAACCAGCCTCGCCCCGGCCACCGCCGCTGGCGGTGGGTTCTGACTTTTGCTACTTCGTATCAAAGCTAAAGACCCGCTAGGGAGGTCCCGACCGCCCTCCGGGGAAGGTCTGGGGGCTTCTGATTTTTGCAGCCCTCCCCAGAGGCAGCCCGGGTGGGCCGAGGCGGGTCCCTGGGAGGGTCGCCACGGCAACGCAGCATCCCCCGGCTCCCGTGCTTGGGGGATGGACTAGGGGCCGGACGCAACCGCCTGGCTGCTGGCCTCCAGGTCGCCTCAGCCTCGGCCTCTGCCGGCCTCCGCCCGCCCGCCTGCCCGTGCTCCCGCCACCCGCTCCAGGCCGCATACCTTGAAAGCGATGGGCAGGGTCTTGTTGCAGCGCCAGTGCGTGGGCAGCACGGAGCAGAGGAAGTTGGGGCTGTCGGTGCGCACCAGCTCGCCCGGGTGGTCGGCCAGCACCTCCACCATGCTGCGGTCGCCGCTCCTCAGCTTGCCGGCCAGGGCGGCGCCGGCGTCCGGGGCGCCCAGTGGCAGCGCCTCGCTCATCTTGCCCGGGCTCAGCGCGGTGGACGGCGGCGTGAAGCGGCGGCTCGTGCTGGCATCTACGGGGATACGCATCACAACAAGCCGATTGAGTTAGGACCCTGCAAACAGCTCCTAGCAGAGGGCGGCGGGGGCGCGGATCTTCAGCCAGCAGCTCCCCGGAGACCAACATACAAGTTCAGGGGCCTGGACTGCCGCAGGGGCGGGGGGCGGGGGCTGACTTAAGTGACTAACTGTCCAGGAGGGGCAAGTTCTGGGTTTGCCGCCGGGCCTCAGACCCGGGCGGGCAGGGCTCCCAGCATCCGGCCGCTGAGCGCTTTAAAAGTGGGCGACCAGAATCCAAAGCCAAATGCCAAGGGGGACTGGACGGTCTTCGTCCGAGTCTTGCTTTGAGAATTTCAGCTCAGTCTTTGGCTGTCACAAAAGTTTCGGGGTGCAAAATCCCCATACACTCCCCTACAACATGTCTGCGGAGAGAGAAAGGACCGGCAACCGCACAGTGTGGAAGTTCCAGTAGTTAACCGCCTGTCAGTTTTCCCAGGTGAGTTTTGTCTAACGTCCCAACACAACAGAAAATACAGGGTCGTCTTCCATAAACATCGCCGCTTTTATCAGGCAAAACTGGCCTCGGTCCTCCAACGCACGAGCCGCGACTTCCGAAGGTCGCGCTACTAATGTATGTGCATATATACACACACACATATAAATATATATACATATGCTCTACTTCATAAAATATTTACAAGACAATCTGTAGAGAATTTAAACACAACAGAAATCCATTAATGTCCGCTGCTTTTTTTTTTTAAGTAGCCTTGAAAATCAGCTTCAGTAGTTGGAGAAGGGCCGGGTGGAAATACTTGTCATGGTCTCTCAATAAGTTCTGGCAGAATGCTCAGTTCCAAAAATTCAGCTTTTCAAAGAAAAGCTGATCTTAAAAAAGAAAAAAGTCCACGTTGATGACACACAGGGAAACAGCTCTCCACATCTGAGAACTCGGGTTTGGGGATGTTGGTTAAGTTTGTGGCTGATCCCGTGGTTTGGTGGGAGTCGAACAGCGGCGGAGTCACACGCACGCAGACATGCACTCCCGGAGCCAGCCGCTGTCTGCCGGGCTCGGTGAGTCAGCCCCGGCGGGAGGCGGCAGCGAGCGGATCTTCCTCCAGGGCCTCCCCAGCGCCGGCCTGCGAACTGCCGGGCCCCGCGGTACCCACAACCACCGTGTAACCGCAGCAGGTGGAGCGGGCCTCCGGAGGAGGGGGCGCCGCAGCGCAGATCGACACGGACGTGGGGGGGCCGCTCGAGTTACCCACGCACACACTCCCACGCACACTGCCACGCACAGGCAACTTCGCGGCTCGCCTCGCGACACAGCGCACTTTCCTCCTGCAGTGTCAAAGGGAAACACCGGGAAAGTTCCACAGCCAGGAAAGAAGTGAACCATCCAGCCAGAAACCAGGTTCATTTCAAAGTAAAACGAAAGGAAAAAAAAAAAAATCGAA